GTCTCAGAGGCCTGGCATATGTACTACAGCGTCTCCTGCGCTTACGAACGGCAATAGCCGTGGCTGTCTCCTCCTGATAGGTGGAGGGTTGCCGATATAGGCGGGATCCTCTTTCCTGACGTCAGATAAGTGTTCAAATCTGGATCAGCCTATATCAGATCCGTTGCAGCCCCGTTTTTAGAGATTTGGGTATGGAGGAAAAGAGAGAGGGTTGTGTTTTCTGACACTTGATGAGTTCCGACACACCGGGGACACATATTCATGTATAAAAGACGTACAAAGGTGCATATGGTATGATAGGTCCCCTTTAACTTTGTTGATGTGATATACAACACATTTCCTCTGTTCTGTTTGTTTTGTTTCAGATACAAATTGGAAAGTCAAACCTTGTTCAGACTCCTTCACAGATATTTGTCTGAGTGTTTGGGAGGACATAGATGTCATTATGGACACACTGAACACAATTATAGCTAAACTGGATGGAGAAATCCTCAAATTATGTGCAGAAAATGCCTCAAGTGTGGATGCAGAAGTTCAGGAGACCAGAAATATAAAAGAACCAGAGCCTCCTGAAGATGATCAAAATCACCTAAACTCCTGTGATCCCCTTGAAGCTAACTCTAGGCATAAACAGGAGGATAGAAATGATCAAAATACAATGCCATTACAGGACACTGAGCAAACATCAGACAACAGACTCTGCAGTTCTGATTGTAATGATGTGAAAGAGACGGGGCAAGAATTTGTGGTCAAAAGTGATCAAGGGAGTGATACTGAGGACTGTCATTCTCAAGAAAGAAAGACAGATTTCCTGGAGGGGACAGAAAAGGCAAAAGAGGAAACAAATGAATGGATCACAGTAGGGTAAGTTGACATACTAAACATCATCTTTCCCCCATCAACTAAGGGAGCAAACAGGAATGTGATGAAGGAATGTGGCTCAACACCAGGTTCCCACACATTGACCACATGGCATCCTTAGCAGGCTATTTCAGGTCATTGTCAGGTCAATGCCCGGATCCGTCCAAAAGCCAAACAAATCCAGAAATCCAGATCAGAGGGAGAGGCCGAGTCTGGGAAAAGCTGATATGAGAATGTGCATGCTACAGCATTTCAGAAATATTTAAGATGGTTGCACTTTTTACTAGAAATATACTTTATACTTTGAGTCACATTAAAGACATATATGCAGGGATACAAATATGCAATTCTTGTTCTTCAGCGCATTATTTTTCAATGTTTACTTCAAAATGTCACCTGTACATCATCAGCATTGTATTTGTGTAAATATGTCTATTCTAAACTGATTTCCAGGCTCAACGGCCAACAGGGAAACAGCCAATCAGATGTACCGGACACATGCTTCATCAGAGCACCTATGGGTGTGGCTGAGGTCCTGAGATGTGAGGTGGCCGACACCCTGAGCTGCCTGATGGTGACGGGTTCAGAGGAGCTGGTCAGCAGAGTGATCAGGCTCAAAGTTCAGGAGGGAGCTAACGTACACTTCCCCGTGACTGTGGTTGTGCCTTTCTGCGCACGTTACCGCGGCAACTACAGGGATGTTGCAGTGAAGATAGTTGACAGGGAGAGGAGGGCAAGCTACGTCACTCCTGTAACCACAGAGGGCACGTATGGAGGTCACAGGGTAACTAAAAGAGATGCTGTGAACTAATAAGTTATAAAATGTTACAGTATTTATGAGCGGTACATTTGTTTTTGTTACTAATTAGGGTTGGTTTAAATAATACAATTATAACTACAGTTTATAAAAGGCACTTTTGAGTGGTCAACTTCAGAAAGAATTGGATGTGCCTTTCTTTAATGTCTTTAAATAAAATGTCAAACACAAGGGGTGATATTATAGAGCCTTGTGGTCCACCTAATATGATAGTACTTTGAATTTAGAATGATCAACCAAAACCATTTGTGTTCTGTCTGAAAATGTTCTGAACTATCCTTTTGCATCTTTGCTGAAACCATTTCACTTTTCCAGCTGTAAAACTGACATGACTTTAACAGACCCCAAGGGAAATACAGCTCCACAATGTTGGTGGAAGCAATAATAACTTACATTGTTATAATTGTCCTTGCCTTAAGCCAGACTGGACATCACGGGTAATATTGTTTTCTGTTTAAAAAGATTATTCAATTTATTTTCTTTTTACCTGTTTGACAGGGCTCATTTGCAGATGTGAGGGTGTATTCCCTTGGCCTGTTTGCAGTGGTGTCCTGTCTAAAAAGAGAAAATTACACAGTTACCACAAAAGGTTTGTCACTAAAGCTACCCATGGACCCCCGGATTTGCCTGAACTACCTCCCAGGAGCCTTCGCTGCTCCAGTTATAGCACAAACCATGGTAAGGAGGTAACATTACTTTTAACACTAGCGTATCATAACATCAAGCATTGGTTTATTTCACTGATTTGCTATGTATTGTGGGATGTTTGGGAGTACGTTTCAGATCAAGCCTTTCTTGGATAAAACAATGTTCATACAGTATCACACATTGTCCAAAGTGCTGCTTAAATAATTATATAATTGTATAAACTTCCTCAGATCCAGCCAGTAGATGCTGTTCTGCTAGCTGCCGTCAAGACTAGGAGCGATGTCTACCACGCGGTGGTGTCTACGAGTCCGTTTCTCTACCTCACCCACCCATCCTCTAAGCCCCTGAGAAGACCCCTCACTCTCACCCTTCCCTGTCCCCCAAACACTGAAAAGAAAAGGCAGACAAGGGGACAAGAAGAGGAGCAAGACCCCCAAATGTGGCCTGTCAGTGGTTCTCCATCATGGGATCAACCTGCTTCCCACAGAAGGAGGTGAGTTAAGCGTGTCTTAAAGAGATAGCCATATAAGTCTGTCAAGTGCTCAGCGCAAGTTGAACTGCCTCCCTGATGATTTAGGTATTGTTAAAAATATAATTTGCTTTTAATGTTTTTGTCAGAGCCTCTGGGAAGTCTAAAGAGATGTCAAACGAGATGCCGATTGTTCTGGGTTCAAGAGACAAACGGTGGAACATCCTGGATAAAGTCACAGTCAGGAACCAGCAAAATGGGCTGGTGTCTTTTGAGCTGACGGAGCACTTTGACAGGTTTGAAATCACCATCCGTACAAATCTAAATGGATCAGGAGAATGAGACCAGAGAAGATTAGTTTAGAGTCCTTTAAAAAAAGGTCCAGGGGACAGCTGATCCAAAGGAATATACAGCATCTGGAACAAATACATTATTCAAGAAATATACACATAATAATAGCACAAACAAAACACAAAATAAAAATGAGAGATTGTTTTTTATTAAAGTTTTTTGGTAACAGAGCTCGGTCATACATTACAAGTTTAGGGACCACATAGCACTTTGTGGATAAATATTATAATGGACTCAATCCTAGAGCAAACAAGATAGCCACTGCAGGGAAAATGTATCTTTTTCTGATCTCATTAGAAGCCTTGTTGCAGTGCTTGGGAGCCAGTCGGAAGCAGTACAAAAATGATTGAGTTGCGTTAAATCAGAAATAAAAGCCAGGATGATTTTCTTTGTGATCGCAGTAGTCAGTGGAGATTTTGTTGTACTTTCCAACCTAAACAGATCACAGCAAAAACTGCAAAATGAGGCAGAAACATCCACAGAAAGACTACAGAGAGTGCAGATAAGCCCAGGGTCAGACTGGAAGGAGGACGCTTATTTGTAGCACCATTTTTGTCAGGTCCACTGCTGATTTGTCCATCCAGTAAAAGATAAACCTGTCAAACAAACAATATTATATATATAAAAAAAATACTTTATTGATTATCCTAAATAATACGTCAGTTGTGTTTGGATACCAGAAGACTGTAATAATCTTCCATCTCTTAGTTCCCTTGCCTTGCTGATGAAGCTGATCAACCACTGTAGTTGATTTGACGGATTGTAGGTTTTTAGCTTGTTGCTCTTGTTCCCTATGCGTAGGGTAAGAACGTTTTTGCTTGACGCACCGCAAATAAGGATGTAATAAATCCTGTACCTCAGACCACAGAAAAGAGAACACTGTCAGGCACCACAGATTAATAGAAGTGAAAGCAAAACAGTTTTCATTTCATTGTAATAATTTCATTTTGTACCTTCTTGCTAAGATGCAGTTAGCAGAGTCCAGGTGTGTCTGCTTCTCAGGACACCGGACTATAAGCTTGTAATGATGTTGAGTTATTTGCAGTGTTGTTTTCATCATATCAAGGAGGCTGTTGAAACTACATCACAAATCGAGGCCATTACGCAACATTTCATAAAGACAAGGTTGGACATTTGGCAAAAACATAAATGCATATTATTTGTTTTTGATGATAATGATGAATAACTTTATATCTCCCCTCACCTTTCAGTGAAAAACAGCCTTTTCAGTTTTCGTTTCACCACAGAGTTAGCCTGTAATGTGCAAAAAAACAACATTAGTAAACAATTATCATGATATGATGACGTTGTGTATCACAAAATCAGTTTCAAAATGACTACAAAGAGACACAAAACAAGTAAAAAGACACACACAAGGAGGGGGAAAACAACCACAGACAAAAGGTAACTAAAAAAAACAATGACGCAGTGACACAAAACAACGACATCAAAAAACCACCGTGAATTGTGTTTCCAATTCAAAAATAAAAAAAACGAGATTAAACAACTCTTAAGTCTGTGTGTGTTGCTCCTTTGAAGGAGAGGTGGGGGCTTTTGCATGTCTGTGCCAGGCGGTCTTACAATCCCCCCATCAGTCACATTGATACGAGGAGTGAAGCAGGTAGGACCCAAACGCAGATAATACTGATAACACCTTTATTTCAAGGGCTCTTATCGAAAATCACTTGGAAACACAAAACACTCCACGGTGAACTCGTTCACCAACAAAAGACAAACCAACACTGAACACAGGAAGAGACAAGACTAAAATACAGGGAGGGGTAATCACAAGACGAGAAACAGCCGGGCAGGGGAGGAGAAACACGAGGGCCACAGGTGAACACAATCAGACAATCAGACAACCCAGGGAAACTAACGACAGGAGGAAAAACACAGGGAAAAGGACCAGACAATAACCCAGAGGAAAACATGACAGGGAGAACAGCAAAACACCCAAACCTAGACATAGAAACGTGGCATGAGAATCATGACACACATGGTGCATGATTTGATGTTTTCCTCAAAAGATTAC